TTGAGATAGTGTCTTAGGTGGCCTTGGCTGTTAGGATCGTGCAAGTTGACTTTTTAGGATCCTTTTTTACATATTATGTGGATGGTCGATATGCAGTTGAGATCTGGCGATCTTTGTCAACAGTTCTTGGGCATCAGCTACAACTTCCATGCGTTGTCAAGGAAAAATGGATATGTATCTTGTTTCTTATTAGATGCTTGGTCACATATTTTTGTTATCACACATCTTTTCCTTTTTTTTTTTTTGAGAACATCAAGACATAAACTGGCATGCATTTTTTTCCTAGAGCAATTCGATTCAGATGTTCAATTTGAAGAGTTATGAGAAGTGGAATTGAGTATCTTTATGCAGTTACATACCTAAGATCTGGCCAAATTTACAGAAGTGCTCTTTTGTTTATACTTCATTGTCAGTTGTCACATATATATGTCGGCATTATGAGTCTTTGGGATTGGCTATCATAATGCTCAGGTTATAAGCCTATCATTTGCTTGAATACACTAAATGCACCTGACTCTTAGTTCATTATTGGAGAGTATTAGAGTATTTCTGTATGTGCTGAGTTGCTTGCACGATACTTGCACCGAATAGTTTATGAGATTGCACTTTTTTATTTATAGAAGGTAGTTGAATCCCCCAATGTTTATCCATTTATTCCCTCTCATTACAATTCCTAGAAAACTCCAGCTGCAGAGCTGTACTTATATTCTTTATTTTCTGCAGTCCAATTGTGAAAGAGGCTGCGGAAATCTCCACGGACGAAGAATCAGATGGTGTTGTTATATGCCCACCAGATGGCAACACTCGTGATTGCGAGGAAGTTGTTAGTGGCAGTGATCATGATAGTTCTCCAGAGGGCCAAGTAACTTCTGTAGAACCGGCCATAGACGGAGAAACAGGGGAAGACAAGCTTATAAACCAAGATTCACTGAAGTTGATCGATCAAGAAATGTCTGCTCTTCCTAAGTCACCAACAAAGCCTAGTATGTCTGGATCAGAGAAGTCTAAGCGTACTGTTCCTCAACCATTCACACTTTCAACTCAAAGAAGGGTCTCTGGTGGAGGAAATGGTGGTGTTGCTCATCCATCCAGTAATGGAGAAAAATCTGGGCAAGGAAGTAGTGCCTCTCCAGCAAGCATGATAAAGAAGGTATGTTGGCGATTTCTCTATGCTCTATTGCACTGTATCATGATGCAGCTAATAATGTGCCTCTAGTCTTGATTTTATTAGACCACAGTTCTTAATTTGATTTTTGGCCCTAACGTTCATGCATGCTTCATTGCTATGGAACGTTAGCTAACTAGATCATACAGAAGCAAGATTGGCTAGCCAACTTATCGGTTGAGGTTTTGCTTGCGCATGCATTGGCCATCATTGGCTAGAAAAATGAACTAGAGTTGCCAAAAAGTTGGCCCTCATCCACACAAAGACCAATATTTTAGACATAACAATTTTTTTTGTATTGTACACTTTGGTCACAATCCAAACATACCCCAGATCATATGAGTTGGGGAAGAGTGTAATATCTTCTGATTGAAGAGCTCCTTTGTTGAAGTTTATTTGTCTTTCTTGTGTCGTGGAACATCTTAAATTTCTTTTATGAACCTGAACATATGCACGCATATTAATCGATGACATGTGTCTTTTCTTTGTTCCTGACTGATGTTTCTATTTGGCTGAAAATGTCATCCTGTAAGCTTTTTGTAGAGAGTTTGTTCTATTGACAGAACTAATCTGGGTATTACCGCAGAGTACTCTGGTGACACCCAAGAAGATGTCACAACCTGGCCTTACATTTCAACCTCAAGACGACGACTCCTGTTCAGTGACTTCTTCGTATCCTTTTCTAATTTACGGTCTACACTCTACACTGTTCTGTCATTATGTTCCTGTAATTTTATTTTTTGGAAGATGTTCTTTCAATTTTTGCATACCAAGGCTCAAGGCTGAAAGATGACTGGAAAATTACACTGTTCTGACAATTTGTTTCTTACGTTTTCTGGAAGATCTTACCATTTGTGCTATGAACCCACAAGCTGTATCTTCTCAGTTGACATTGTTTTGTGAACTGAAAACATTGCCTACATGATGTTTCCCTCCTCGTAGCAGTTTGAAACAATTGATTATGTATTTTCCTGAGTTGCACAAAGAACCACAGCTTCAGCACGAGCTGGCCGAACTAAGACAACCGTTGCCTTTGCTCCTACATTTGTATGTGACGACCGTGCTGACAAGAGGAAAGAGGTGTGTATGCAATCTGATTGCACTGTGCCAAGACAAGATGATCATAACCATTAGTAGACAGTAGCGATTTTTTTTTTAAATCTGATACTCACATTATTACTAATTCTTCAGTTCTACACGAAATTAGAAGAGAAGCACAAAGCTTTGGAAGCTGAGAAGAATGAGGCTGAAACAAGGAAAAAGGTAAGAACGTACTTTTGTTTTGTATGATGGAACATTTGAGTTATTTGTGCTCTGTTCCACCCTGGTAAAGGAAAAATGTCTTGATTTAACACGGGCATCCTTTGTTCTGTACTACACTTAAACAAACAGATTTTCCAGCATTACTAGGCGATTAGATGCTTGATTGCATATGTTTATGTCAGAAATAGAATCGGAATTGATATAGAACTATAATCCCTATGATGAAAATGTAGTTGTGAGGATTTGCATCTCCTATACATTGGAGGTTTATTTGTACATTCCCACTTGGCCATAGCAGTGTATGTCTATCAAGCTTATTGAATAACATAGTGTTCAAGCCTAGGTTAGACTCTTCTGAATTCGAGCCCTAGATTCCTAACAGCTTGCTACTGCCAATTTTTTGACCAACATATCTTTGAATCTTTTGTTATTAATATTGTTACTAACATTTCTGATGTTCATTTTTCCTGTAGGATGAGCAAGAAGCGGCTTTAAAACAACTAAGGAAATCCTTGGTCATCAGAGCAAAACCCATGCCAAACTTCTACCAAGAAGGCCCCCCTCCAAAGGCTGAGCTGAAGAAGGTAATTCCCATATCTTGTATTTCCGCATAAAAATTGTACTTGCAGTTGCTTACTTGCTTATACATGAAAATAAATCACAATCTACATTTAATGGATGTGGTGCTTTCTAGGAGAATTCTGTATATATCACCGAAATGAGCCAATGCCTTATAATTAATTAATGTGCTGTTTTTTTCACCGAACAACACATGTTGCCCCTAATGCAAAAGCAACCCATTGAATGATATCATAGGTGTAATTTGCTTCATAAATTTACATCTATAAGGCTTTCCATTTGTGTTATAGAGAGTAGATGTTGATGCATAGTTTTATGACAAGCAGAACATTTAACTAACTTCCCATAAAATTTTAGTTTACTGACTACTGGCAAGAAATATAACACACCCGATGGACTAACTTTAAACTATGCTCAGTCACGGATTTACATTTTTGGTTTTGTTCTGTGAAGGTGCCTCCAACCCGTGCCAAGTCACCAAAGTTTACAAGGAGAAAGAGCACCGGGGATGGCACACCGGCGACCCTGGAGGCAGTGAACACCAGCGCGGCATCTCACAGGGCGCATCGTCACAGCATGGGGAATCCTAAAGACGCCAAGAAAGCGCAGTGCTCGCCGAAGAGCGGCGTAGGCGCCAAAGCCAGAGCCGTCAAACCCGTGAGCTGAATGAAGGCCCTCTGAGAAGGAGGAGCATGGAGCAGCCAGCCAAGTTCGAATGTCGCTGTACAAACCCTAACTCAACGTTGTCTCTGCTGTCGTTGTGTTTCGCGGTTAAGTTGATTCATGTAAGGTGGATGTCAGTCAGTCACTCGGTCGTTTGATGATGCCCTCGACGAACAAATTTGAGAGCTGAACTTGTTGCATTGCCCCGCTGGATGTTTGCTTGCCTGGGTCTGGGTGGTTTGCTGATTTGTCCCATGTTCCATGACCCCCACCTTGTCTGGTGTTGTGCTCATGTTTGTATTATTGTTGCCATGGTTTGAGTTCTGCAAATTTGTCGGAGTATCTTCGGGATCAGACGTGGCGACCATGATAAGGGTTGGGCCAGTTCTACATCTAGTATAAATTTAACGTAAGCGTCCCCATGACATGACCACCCCAGGGAAATACTTCCTCTGTCTCAAAATGTAAAATATGTGTTGACACCGTGACCGTGTCAAAAAACGTCTTAACAGGGGGAGTAACTTTAAGCGCCATATTAAAGGTGAGAGAAGTAGCATTCATTCACTCCCTTTATTTTCTCATTCATTAGGAAAAGAACGGAGCATTGTTACTCCAACTTGAAGGGTCTCAATTATTAGTAGCCTTATTAGCAGATAAAACTGACTTTTCCAGGCTCCATTTCCTGACCCGGTTTCAGAAATGAAAAAGAAAAATACTACGTGGAAGGAAAAGGTTTGGATGGGACACAGTGGGCATATTTAAATTGAAGAACCCAGAAAGCCACCCTGTTATGTTTTGTGTCGAAAAGAAAAGATCATCATCAGCAATTCAGCATTCAGCTGTCGCCTCTTCTTCTTGGTCTAATCTCGTGTACATTTCCAACCAATCTGGACGGAGTTCATCCCTCTCGCTGTCCCTTTGACTGGAATTATTGCTAGTATTGGTACGCGTAGAAATCTCTCTCAGCCTTCAATTCTTTTCTTGTTTATTGGACGGTTTCGTGGTAGTTGGCGAGTGGTGCTCAGGAAAGAAAGAGGGGGAGGAGATCTGGGCTTTGTGTTCTTCCCCTCTCCTGAATTCCCTCCTCCTGTCCTGCCAAGTCAAGGAAGATGAGATGAAGGTATGGTGTGTACGCATGTTTCTTGATTCATCCATCTTGCCCATTCTGATTCTCAGTGAAGAAGTCTGTTCAGATCCTATAGATTGAGTCGAATCAGCATGCGTGATCTTGATCTGCAACCTGTCTTCCTCAGGAAAGAAGCGGCCTGTGTACTCATCAGTGGCAGCCTATCCATCCATCCATCCATTCACCCCAAGGGAAGATCAATCAATGGCGCCAAGAGCAAGAGCTACCGGCACGGCCTGGGGATCTCACCGGCAGCAGCTCTCTGCCCTGCTATCCTCGGCGGTCCTGGAATGGGTGCTGATCCTGCTGATGCTGCTGGAGGGCCTGCTGTCGTACCTGGCCACGGCGTTCGCGCGCCTCTGCAACCTCCCGCCGCCGTGCCCGGCGTGCGCGCGGCTCGACGCCGTCCTCGGCGGGGCGCGCCCGGGCTCCTCCTACCGCGACCTCCTGTGCAGCTCCCACAGGGCGGAGGCGTTCTGCCATGATGGTGGCGGCGTGGGCATCGGGGAGGTTTGCAGTGGAGATGTTTCAGGGGGTCGGCTCGCCGTCGACGACGGGTTCGATCGCGCCGGGTACAGTGAGCTCAGGACCTCCGACTCCGAGTCCGAGCTGAGAAGAAGATCGCCGGAGGACGCTGCCGCCATCGATCGGTTGAAGGAGCAGCTTACTTTGACGCAAGTTCAGAGTGGCGTCCCGGACAGAACACACGCTGCTGAAGATTCAAGGGAGTTGGGCAGCATCATTCAGACAAGTGAACTTCCCACAAAAGATGAAGAATCTCACACGAAGGTTGCAGATAGCGTTCTTCAATCCGAGTTAACGCAAGTTCAGAGTGGCAAATTACACTGTGAAGATCCAGACAGCATTCAGACAAGTGATCTTCCAACAAAAGATGAAGAACCCCATACAGATACAGGAGGTGTGTGCAGCTTTACCATTGACAACCATACATACCATCTGTTAAATTTTGTCCTGCCAATCTGAATTTCTGACAATGCTATCTTTCTTCCATGTAGATGATCATAACCCAGAAGAAGATGTGTGGCACAATGCTACTGACACTGGCGAACCGTCTGAAACCAAAGCTGCAGCAGATGAGCCGGACCCTGAATTTTCCGACAGGGCCACCACACGGCAGGATTCCTTGAGAGTCCACCAGCACCTGAAGCTGCTGCTCTCGCAGCTCTCCACTTCTTCTTCTTTCCGGGCGCCCGACAGCCCGAGCGTGCAGGAGCAGCAGCACGAGCAGGCCGTGCTGCGCAACATCACCAGGGCGCTCTCCCTGCAGCGGAACTACTCGGGCGTCTCCGACGGCAGCGTGGCCGGCGCTGAAGGTGAGGCTGAAGAGTGCGGCACGGTTGACGAGCTGAAGCGGCGGGTGGAGCTGGACCGCAGGTCCATGGCGCTCCTGTGGAAGGAGCTGGAGGAGGAGCGGAGCGCGTCGGCGGTGGCGACCAGCCAGGCCATGGCCATGATCACCAGGCTGCAGGAGGAGAAGGCGGCCATGCGGACGGAGGCGGCGCAGTACCGCAGGGTCATGGAGGAGCAGAGCGCGTACGATCGTGACGAGGCTGACCGGCTGGCCGGCGCGGTAAGGGAGCTCGAGGCCGAGGTCGAGGGATACAAGGCCAGGCTCAGGGACCACGAGATCGTCGGCGAGATCCGCGACCATATGAGGCTCCTTCCGTGCCAGACACAAGGCGAGACGGGCGGTGTCTCCGGCTCCGGACCGGCCGGAGAGGAATTCTCCGGCGGCGGCTCCGAGGACGACGAGAACGCGCGCGCCTGGAAGCAGCTGAGGGGGCTGACGGACAGGCTCCACCGGCTCTCCAACAACAGCAGCGGGATCGTCCAAGAACCGGAGCCCACGGACGTCGAAGAAGAAGAAGAAGACGGCGACGGCGGCAAGGAGGAGGACACGACGGAAGCTTCGGTGGTCGGCAAGCGCGTGAGGAACGGCGACAACTTCACGAAATGGCAGCATCTTCAGTCCATCGAGACGACGAGCAAGGGCTCGACTCACGGCCACGGCCACCGCGGAGACGACGGCGGCGGCGAGGGCGACGACACGGCCGCACTGGAGGAGGAGATCGGGGAGCTCAGCCGGCGGCTGCAGGCGCTGGAAGCGGACCGGAGCTTCCTGGAGCACAGCGTGAACTCGCTGAGGAACGGGAGGGACGGCGAGGCGGTGGTCCACGACATCGCTCGCAGCCTGAGAGTGCTCCGGAGGACACTTGGAGAGGACACCATGGCTACCTGAAAGCTCCAGTGGCGAGGCGGTGATTACTTCTTCAACCTTTGAACTGAAACCATTTCGTGATCAATCTGCTGCTAGAAGTTAATCTGAACTTGTTATACGAATTGACCTCAGATCGATCCAGTGATCATCACTGCTGCCAATTTCACTTTTGATTCTTGTGATTTGATCGGCTGGAGTTCGAGCTGATCGAAGGTTGTGAATGATGTAGGCTGTAAATAGTGATGAGGCTGGCTGACTGTACAATAAGCATCTGTGCATATATTTTTTGCGTCGAGTGTTTGTTCTGCAATGCATTGCAGAATCAGGGTGCCTTTTTTAGAGATTCTAATATGTACTCCCGCCGTTTCCAAATACAAGTCTTTTTTAGAGATTCTAATATGGAGTACATACAGAGCAAAGGAGTGAATCTACACTCTAGAATACGTCTATATTCATCCGTATGTAGTTCATATTCAAATATTTAAAAAGACTTATATTTAAGAACAGGGGGAGTACAAAATTTTATCTTGACGGGTTTGAAATATTATGAAATTTCGCGAGGATGTAAGTATGATGCATATCTAACACGGTGTAAAATTTCAGATCAAAATTGAAAGTGCATATCTAGAAGAAAAAAAATGACACGTCACGGTGTGAATAGTAGCTAATGCGAACCAGGCCTTTAATTCAACCCATTTTCTTTATGACCAATGATTTGTCATTTTTAGCTCTCATACTATGTCTCGAATTCGGATATTAAAATTTGTTTTATGATAGATTCTTGTTGCAATTAGAACATAATTTATGTTTAGAATTTTACAACGTTCATAGAAAAACTAAT